AGAAAGAGAGGGAGAGAGAGAGAGAGAGAGAGAGAGAGAGAGAGAGAGATGCAGAGCGTGTGCAGAGCAGGGGAATACGAGGAAAAGGATTGAGAACCGCTGCTTTAGAACATTGATGTTGAAACCTGTGAATCCATTAGAATCGTTAGAAGACAGATTCGCGATTCATATATGAATAGATTTTTACGTGCACCTCTAGTTTTCGCTTCCTCTTCTCTAAAGCAGCGCAGCATGGCCTCGCCCCCTTTGCTGCCTTTTGCCGAGGGTGGGGTTTATCTGGTTTTGTGATGTCACGAACCCGGGAAGTAACTTGTTGTAGTCACTACCAGCCATTTTTGTAGGCATTAAACTGCCAAAATTTTAAAAGACGATATCTCCGTTTGCATTGATCTTTCAGCTTCGTAACTTTGCAGATATTGTTTATGCTCAAACAGCAACATTACACACTAACATTAAAAAAGTGAAATCGCAATGAACCAGCCAGAATTTTAAAAGACGATATCTCCGTTTGCATTGAACTTTTAGCTTCGTAACTTTGCAGATATTGTTTATGCTCAGACAGCAACATTAGACACTAACTAATGTTAAAAAAGTGAAATCACAATGAAACACCCCTTTAATGCGTCATGCAGTGATTTTGGACTGAGATCCAAAATAAAGTGGAGCAGACAGACCTTTTATTAAACCCCTAGAGCTGCTAACTAACATCATTAAATACATTTCTTTCTTTTGTTTGAACTGAACATTTGTTGCTAAAATTGGAATTGTGAGTGAAACGGCATTTTCTACACTTTTATTGAACTACTGGTCATGTGTCCGGCAGGTTATATATTCATACAATTTTTAGAAAGACCACAGGGAGGGCAGGTAGTCTCGGGGCTGATAGTATTTTGAGAGAATGGTGGAGGTGAACGCATACAGATCTAGGATACTGGGAACGATCCCACACTGGGATGGTTTGCATGACTAAAAAGCCCAAAAACCATAATAAATCAATTGCTAATCAGAAAAGCACTAGTTCAAAGATGATTTCAAATGCAATCTCATGGACTCACAAACTTGAGGAACACATGTCCAAGAGAATGGTGTGCTTGGGGTTCAGGCTGCAAACTGGCATCCAGAGTGGAAAGAAACTCATAATGGACTTCCAAAATGAACTCAATGTTGGAAAACAAGATCTGTGTGAAGGGAAGAGATCTTTTTTTTTTTTAAATCACCAAAAATAACACTTTTTAATCTAATGCAGTAACATTTTAAGTGTCCAAATATTTTGGAACCTCTGTATATTTTCTAAATAATAATACTGCATGTAAATGTTGTGTGTGTGTTAATGTTTTTTTTTTACCTTGACCTGCTCTGGAGTGAGACATTGTTGGTTTTCTGCAGTCTGCCTTATTCTCTGGAGAAAAGCCTGTTGATTTACAAAAATAGAAAGCGACACAGAGGGGAAAAAAAGTTAAGTGTTTACACAAGGAATCACTGCGGTGTGAAATAAAGGTGGAGCAGATTTGTATGGTTGCCACACTTATGTTAATGTTTCAAAGCTGTAACACTTCCTGTAGGTTTACACCCTCCTTCTGCCTGTAACTCTGACTAGAGACTAAACATTCACCTTCAGTGACAAACACACACATGTGAAGCCAAACTCCACAAACTGCACTGTGTACTGGAGATGGGAGAATAAACAGAAATGTCATAGACACATTTTCAGAGTCATTACAAAGAGATCTTAACAGCACTTTACCCTGCTGTGCATGCAGACTATGTGCTAAAACTGTAAGGACGGGAGGCCTTCTACACAAACACAAATCTCAAAGTAATGATTTATATCATCAAAATCAGTGGAGGACTGCAAATCTTCAGCCTACACTGTATATACATATAAACTGCTGTTTCTCAACATTTTGAATACAGGGCCCTTATTATCAACAACAATATGACCTTTCCAGTTTTTCGTTATTTACTGGATAAGGATTAAGGGCAAACTTTTTTTTATATATTTTGTACTAACAATTTCTACCCAGTAAAATATATATTCATTATAAAATCGCACATGGAGTTATAATATTTTATTAATTTACATGATTTTTCCATGAGTGGGAACACTGATTCTTAAAAAAAAAAAAATGTTGAGGCGGTGAATTAAAATAAGAAACATCCCGATTTTTTGTTGTTTTAACATAATTGAAGTACTTTTCAGTCATCTTGAAGCCCCCTTGAAAGTTTGCTGAGGCCCCTAGTGGGCCCCGGCTCCCTGAGAACCACTGATATATCCACATTTAGACCGACTCTGTGAGTAAACAGTATATTTGTTGAACTGTGGACAGGCATATTACCCATAATCTTCATTCAGCTTGCTGAGAAGCAGATACAAACAGAAGCAGAGGGTTGAGAGAGAATTATAAATATCTTCAGCACTGATTTGCACAGTTTTAGAAGAGTCTCCCCTGGAGAAAGACAGTCTGCCACTCACTGACTGTTTCTAATTCTGGCTCTGTAAAACACTTCTCATCAGCAGCGGCGGCAGCGGCAATGAGGCGATCTGCTAACAGTGTGCTCGACTCACTCCATTGCAGTGTCTGTTAATTTACCTGTCACTACCTATTGTCTCCGACGGTCTCCCACAGCAACAGCACACAGCTAAAGACCTATCCTGAGCGGTTTCACCTTTGCCACCTCTGCTCTGCTATTGTTGTTTTTTTTCATTCCATCTTTTTCTTTGATTCTTTTATTAGAATGTGAGGTGATTTTGTGCGTCAGCATAGGGCCGATTGTTTTGGCAGAAAAATCTCTCATCGCCAGTCTCCTTCATCCCTCTCTCATGGATTTTAAAGGCGAACGAGACCTTAAATGCAGGCCATCACGCCTCTTTTTCCTTTACCACATAACAGGACGAAAAGTACGCTAATGAGAAGCACTCACTGTATCTCCTTCTGGCATCCTTCTGATAATGACAGACTAACTCTCGGTCACACTTCTGTGTCTCTGGAAGACATTTAGGATGGCAGCTTATGCTCCTAAGAGTGTTTGTTTGTAGAAACTCTCAAACACATTTAACTGTAAACATCATGTGAAATCACATGCTTGCACTCAAGAAATGCTCAATTCAACTTAAAGGGACAGTTCACCCAAAAATTAAAATTTTGTCATTTTCCAAACCTCAACAACTTTCTATTTTCTGTAAAACAAAAGTGATATTTTTGAAGAAAGTGTTTATTGTCTATACATTGTTTTGGACCCCACTGACTTGCATTGTATGGACAAAAGCAGTCTAAACATTTGTCAAAATATCTCCTTTTGAGTTCTTCAGAAAAAAAGTCACACAGGTTTGGAATGACATGGTTTATGTTTAGCTAGTCAGATTTCCCAGAAGGGACCTGAACATACTTGTAACTGACACTTAGTGTAATATGGGTGGTGATGATGGTGGTCCTGTTGTTCATTGCAGTTCCTGGCGGCAATGCGAGGGTCCCGTCCCTCAGGCGTGTGCTAATTTAATCTCTCATATGGCCCATCCACAGTAATTCATAAAATGGTCATCCATGTGACTCAGCCCGAGGGGCTGGTGGAGTTATAGACAGGATGTGAATCTCCAAACCGCCACACAAACAGAACGAAGGGTGTGAAGAGTAAAAGGAGTGTTTGCACGACATGGATGGAGTTTATGGAAAAGATTTCTAAATATTTTTAAAAAATAATGAATACTTGATTCCTAAACCCCACCCCCAAACTCATGCCATTGGTTGAGTCAATGTTGCTTTGTTGGTATGGTCATGACACTCAACAAACTATTTTAATAGTAGGGTTACATATAGCCGTCTCTGTAAGCTGGGATATGTGAAATTGTTACATTGAAAAAAAGGCACACTTCATTCACATTGACGAGTTTGAGAGTTTCCTCCCTAGGCTTGATTTGGCCCTTCTCTGGCCTTTTCCTGCATCACTCTCATGCTTACGTCAAAAAAAATCACATAAATAAACAAGTACTACAAGGCTGCGTTGTGATTCCATGGCAACGGTTACCGTTTCTCTGGGCAACAGAGAGTGTGAAGTCAGCAGCAGAGGATGACAGGTGCAACCGGGGGCATGTGTGCGAAATGAAAAATGAATTAATTCATTTCGATTCAAAGAGGCACTGAGCTAATGAAATATTGCACATCAACCTTTACAAGCAATTTTGTTGTGACTTCAATCTCTTTCATTAATCAGATGATCCTGCGTTTCATTTCAGCTCAATAAAAAGAAGAGCTATCGATCCATAATCTATAGGCAAACTGACTAATTGTAAGCACTCTGATGAAGTTTACATATCTGAAGACTGTGACTGTCTTTTCTGTCCAGCTGGTAAGAGGGACAGGGGAATAGAGTTACACACAGTAGAATAGCCAAAGGCTATTAGATGTAGAAGAGCATGAATGTGTCCATATGTCCCCACAAAGGAAACAAGCTGTTCGCTGACTCTTTTCCCCCCTCAATGAAATGCTTTGCCAGGAAACAGACATTATAATTTTGCCACCTGCAACACAGGGTGACCTTAACCAAACACTGACACTAATTCAATGACAGGAGCGAGATCTTGGCCTCTTGCATTTCAGGAAGGAAAAGGCAGAACAAACCTTTTCCGTAACAAAAAGGCTGCTGTTTCCCACACACAATACATCAACACTGTTCATTGTTTAGATGGTTTTCCTTTAAATTAGCACGTTATCAAACAATGATCGTCATTATTGAGACAGAAG